GTCTCAAAGTTTTTCTTTTAAAAACCGTCGATAATACGATACAAACTTTACCACAAGAGCATCGTTTAACTAGGGAAAAAATATTTCCAATTTATAAATCTTCGCACACGATAATACCGACGTAAGGTAAGTACGTATTAAAGCAGACAATTTTGTTTTTGGTTCAGGAATCTTTAATTGTAAATTCCAGAGCATTCATATTGTAGAAAAATAATCTTTGGTTTATTATCTTTGAATTATATTCATTAAAATAAATGAACTAGAATACTTTATACCTATCAAAGTAAGTGAAATCAATGAAATCACTATTGTACATAAGCTATGCCCTTGGTCATACCATAGAAAATGATAGTAAAGAGTTAACGGTATAATGTTTATAGGTATAATAGCTTCATATTAACCTGTTTGATTAAAATCGCAAAAAATATAATATAAAGGCACAAAACTCCCTGAAATTAAGAAAATTCTTAACCTTACCAATGTTTGTCGTTAGCAATGACATTTAACGATAAACTGACGTGATTTCGCATAATGCTGGTTCGTATAACCCAAAGGAGTAGCCAGTATAGGAAGACCGAATTTGGAATATGACACGTGACATATTGTCCGTGTAAGCCAGTTCTTAAGTATTTCTCCTTGTGATTTCAGTCGAAGATGTTAAATTTTATTACATTCCTAAATTAATCCCTGATCGTGTCTCCTTCTACAAGACTATTGCAGAATATACTGTGCACATCTTGGCACTGATAAAGGCCATATTTAAAACAACCAACCAAGTACATATTTCTCCCAATTGAATGAGTGAACATTTTGGAAATGCTCCGTGTATATGTAACAATGCATTATTGTAAGGTACTGATAAATTATGTATCTTTAAAAAAAAAATGTTTAAGAAAGTCATTTTCTATTTTCCCTCCTTTTCCTCTTCAACAACCCAGAGTAGCAACAGATCCGCAAAACTATGTTGCGGATGTCCATGTTAAATGGTACCTTCATCAGGTAGGCCGTCTGCTCGGTTGCTACATTTAGCATAAAAAAAGTCATAAAAACTAATACCAAGATTACTACTATAATCTTTCATAAATTTTGTCTTCAATATTACATGTCTTTTTAATCCTATGTCCCCCAGATGGGACAGAGGGCGTCCATAGTACGCCGTCATCTCAATCGGTCTTGAGCATCGCCTTTCTTGTCGCTCCAAGTCTTCCCGCTGGTTTTGGCTTCTGCAGTGACCGTCCATAAGTCAGTTGTGGCCTAGTGAATAAAGTGCCCGCCTCTCGTTGCCGAGGGCGCGGGTTCAAACCTGGCAAGTACCAATGTGATTTTTCCGAGTCATATGTACTTTCTGAGAGTATGTAGACACCACTGACATACGGTAAAGGAAAACATCGTGAGGAAACCTGGACTTATATTTTCACAATTATAGGTTTGAAGTCACCAACCCGTCTTGAGCAAGCATGGTGATTAATGCTTAAACCTTCTCCATGTGAGAAAGAGGCCTTTGCTCAGCAGTGGGCTCTGTTAGGCTGATGACGTGAGTGATCGTCCGCCGCCGGGTCTGCTTAGGGCGGCCACGTTTTCGCTTTCCTTAGGGAGTCCATTCTAGGCTTGATATCTCAATATTATATAGATCCTTATAATTATAAAGTAAACTTTCTTGTATATATGTAAGTCTTAACTATTGTTATATTAGAGTAAATATTTATAAAAAAACAATATATCTTCGTTAAATTTAAGAGATAACATCCTTTTAAGATATTTTCCTTCACATCAAGTATTTCGTATCCCGCTGTATTCTGAACTGTCGCTGCGTGTGTTGTGATATCATTTGATTTGAAAACAACGTGTAGTTTATTTTGTTAATTGTAATAACACCTTATTATCTTATATTAATTCTATATGTATATTTTACGAGATAAATAAAGTTTCAATTTGAAATTTTTTTGTATTGTCTAGTGATAATTTTAGAAGAAAATAATTAGTTGAAAATTCTACGAAAAAGCATAGACATTGCTAGAGGCAAAGACTAGGCAGATGTTTTTTTAAAAGATTTAAGCTTTTGTATCAAAGAACGCAACCCATTGTTTTTGCAGTTTTACTAGTAATTTTTTTGGTATACTGAATTATAAAACTGTTATAAATGAAATATATTTTTTTACAGTTTAATGTATGCGTTATGTATTAGAGAGGTTTGTATTTGGCTGCAAATAAATTTACATGTGTGAGTACACATCTCTACGTACATATCTTGCATATGTTTGTGTGTGTGTGTGTGTGTGTGTGTGTGTGTGTGTGTAAACAAAATTATTATTCCCCCTTTCATATATATATAAGAGTAGTGTATACATGTCTTCTCCAGCGACAATGAAGAACGGATATCTGAGAATACGTGATCTGCGTTTTGTTGCTACAACAATGCTCATCATTACTCAGACTCCACGTCATGCTATACTCTTATTATGCCGCCAAATAATACTAAACCACGAACAATGAGACTAAATTCAATAAAATGTTACATAACAATCTGTATATATCAAACATCTGCTAATTAATGCTTCGTAATTTATAAAAACATAACGAAACAACGTCATAACGAAACGGTTTGCTGAATTTTCTAGCATCTACCACTCAGAACGGAATCAATGCTTCCTTTCAAATAAAAACAATGACTAAAACATGTGTATAATGGGGATAAAAGATATTAATTAAATACGTAGATTTAAGATTGGTAACCAAGTAACTGAAAAGGTCTGTCAGAATTCTATTAAGTACTAGTTTTTGCCCGCGACTTCTTCCGCGTTAGTTTGGTCAAGAGTAATATATGTAGGTATAGCTATGTAGGTATAGCTGACCAGGCGAACTCTATTCCGTCTTAGAGGCCATAAATAATCAGGTTTTTTCTGTTTCAATCAAACAGAATGATTGACATATTAGTTAGTTGTCAAATTTAATGTCAAAAAAATTTTTGTATGGGAAATAGAAAAGGGCTGTTTTTAGGGTTTTCCCGGCAATTATTCCAATTTTTCTCACCTTTTAAACCTTCCCTGGAGTTCCAGGAGTATTTCAAGACTAAAATTAGCCAAATCTGTTCAGCCGTTCTCGAGTTTTAGCGAGACTAAGGGACAGCAATCCATTTTTATATATATAGAAGAAGAAGATAGAAGATAATAATAATTATAAGTAGTGACGTTTAACAAAGCAAAGGTTTAAGCTCATACTTCCATACGAAGTTTTATGATTATTTTATTTTAATATAATATTAGTATTTAACTAATATTATATTAAAAATAAAATATAATTTTATATTGAAATTATTGTTTAATAATAATTTTCTAATAAATACAGATATGAATCTCAATTTTTTATGTAAAAAAATAAATACATAATGCAGTATTTGTCTGATTTTAGGTAAAATAAAATACACAGAGGTAATGAACCATAAAGGCGTGAATACTTATACTTCAAATCACGGCCAGTGTAACCTTATATAAACATTAGAAAAAATATAAGATAAAATTTGCTTTTAATTATTTTGTGTAGTGATATTAAAAAAAATGTCTGCCATTTTTAATAATCAAACTCCACATAGTTTTAAATAGACGATATAATTTATAAACTCTAATATGGGAGCAAATAGATAGAATTATAATTTAAATATTATAATAATATTATTAGAATACTCGATTTTTTAAACTCTTTAGTATTATAAAAAGAACTGTTCTTAATCGAATGGAAAACGTCCTTGGCTGGTGTTTAATCTTGTTCGCGGTGTAATTAGCTTTGGAATCGGTATTAACCATCACTGACTGATCTGACCCCTGGATTTTTTAAACCAATTATATTCTTAAATTATAAGATCACAGTATCAAATTTCTTCGGAGCAATACCTAAATTAAAAATAAATTATATTTAGATTTTTATGATTTAAATTTAATATAATTTGTATTAAAGAATTCAAGAATATTCAAACTAAAATAATAAATTTACATGGATGCAATAAGTTCTTTATATTATGTATAATTAATCATGAAAATTATCTGTAACGCCATCTCTCGGACTTTAATAATATAACGTAACCTAGTTGAAAAAAATATACATAAACATATATGATAATATCTTTAAAAAAACTTAAATCCTTCAGTATCATAAAATTAACTTTCCATGCTTTTTATGGACATCTATTTAATTTCTAGAAAAATTTATTAAACTTATCTAATAACTCAGAGTGGTTTAAGCCAAAACCAAAACCAAAAACTACGATTTATATAAAAATTGTTATTAGGTGGGTATTAAGTTTTTAGCTTAATAAATTTTGTACATATTATACCTTTTACAGTAGTTTTTTACACCAAGGATAGGTCCAAAAATTTTGTCCTTTAGGCGTTGTCTATGCTACGACGTTCCATAGTATACTATAATAATATAGTCTGTATTGTATCAAAGATCATGAATGTAATGTCAGAATGACATTTTGAAATATCATCAAGCTTACACTGGGTTACATTGAGCTTACCGGTTCTCTAACATTAAAAATACGTATATTTTAATTATTCTTTCAAACAAAGATAGATAATTATGGTAAGTGCTGTTCTATTGAAAATTATAACTATCTCGGACTATTCAAATTTTTGTTGACTTGTATTCCAAGCTCAAAGGAAAAAAATGCTTTGTCATATTTTATAACTAACAGTTTTGGTTTACATTTAAATATATTTGGTAGTCACTTAATTAATTTTCCAGCATCACGTACCAAAATAATTATTGTTACAATTATTTAGTAACATCATCAATGATTTAATAATAACCTTATACTAATAAAGAACTTTTTAAACATGTCGTGATTTTATACATTCATATGAACTTTTACATTTTATACTGGAATTATGTATTATGACTAAAAATTTCTTGAAGACTACCCATGTTCACAACAATATTTTCATTACATTATATGTTAATAATGATTTTATGCATTCCTAAGACATCGAAAAAAAAAATTTCAGTTCCGCAACCAATACGACAGTGACGTCACAGTATGGAGCCCCCAGGGCCGTCTCCATCAAGTGGAATACGCTATGGAGGCAGTAAAACTAGGCTCAGCCACGGTTGGACTTAAAAATAAGCAGTTTGCCGTCCTGATAGCTCTCAAGAGGGCCGTCAGTGAATTGTCAGCATATCAGAAGAAGATCATTCCTATCGATGATCATATTGGTATTTCAATATCTGGATTAACCGCTGATGCTAGAATGCTAAGGTAATAGACTACATTATTGTCATGGACATAAAACGCCACAGAGGTTGATAAAAATCCTTCTAGAATCTTAAACAGCCAAAAAATTTAGTGTTTATCACATTATGTATAGATTGTGGTTATTAATGACAATAATCAGAAGTTACATATGTATTTTCAATGTATTAATCATGATTATATACACTTTCCAGCCGTTTCATGAGAACGGAATGCCTCAATCATCGTTATGCTCATGATGCACCAATGCCAGTCGGCAGGCTTATATCTCTTGTGGGCAACAAGATGCAGATATGTACTCAGCGGTATGATAAGCGACCTTTAGGAGTCGGCTTGCTGGTAGCTGGGTATGATGTGAGTGGGTTATATATATTTACTAGCTGCGCCCCGCGGTGTTACCTGCGGATTTCTGGGATTTCTGGGTTGTAAAGTAGCCTATGTGCTATTCCTGGACGTGAGCTTCCTGTATACAGAATTTTATCAAAATCGGTTCAGCCGTTTGAGCGTAAAGAAGTAACAAACATACACACACTCACAAACTTTTGCAAATATAATATTAGTATTATGATATTAACCATATATGTAAAAGTAATATGTTTTAAATAAATGTATAGCTTATAAAATACAAATAATGGAAGATTTGAATTCTTCTATGTTTATTTTTTATTACTACTAGCTGACCTGGCAAATGTTGTTAAGCCATTTAAAAAATAGGGGTTAGTGATAAAAATTTCGTTGGAAAATAAAAATCAATTAAGGATAAACAAGCCTTATGACTAAGGGGTATGAAAAATAGATGTTGTCCGATTCTCAGACCTACTCAATATGCTTTCAAAATTTCATCAAAATCAGTGAAGCCGTTTCGGAGGAGTTCTCTGTCTAACACCGCAACAAGAGAATTTTAGTTATAAGATATTAAGAAAACATTAACAAAATGTCTCCGCCTTGACAAAGACTAAGTATGTTATTGGACACATTCTTAGAACATATGTTAATGTAGTAATTTAGGTCAAATATATTTACTTATAATTCAAAAGGCTAGATTTTGAATTTAATTAAGTATTGTATACTTTGTAAGGGAAAAAAAGTGTATTGAACCTTTATGTGGTCCAAACCAATGAATAACTTGTTAAGTAATAATTAGTTTTACTGAGGCTGCCTCACTTCTTCTACCTGGCAATTTCGCAGCTTTAGCCAGGGTCTGCCTTATATGTTGTGAATAGTTTTGGCTATTTGATTTTACGACCACCTGCCTGACATCAACCCTCTTTGGGAATGCATTAATCAGTGATGTCTAAATACTCTTAGAAAGTACATATGACTGAGAAAAATCACATTGGTACTGGCCAGGATCGAAACCGTGAACTCATGCATGAGAGGCGGGCCTTTTAGCCACTAGGCCACCACTGACTACTGAGGCTGTCTTACTTAAATACTTGTATCTATTTACAGGATCAAGGACCTCATATATATCAGACATGTCCTTCAGCCAATTATTTTGACTGCCGTGCTATGGCTATCGGTGCACGATCGCAATCCGCAAGGACTTATTTGGAGAAACATCTTAATACTTTCCTTGATTGTGATCTAAATGAACTTGTAGCTCATGGCTTAAGAGCATTGAGAGATACACTGCCAAATGAGGTTGATCTCAACAATAAGGTAACTTTATTATATTTACATGTTTTTTTTCATTATTTTGTATTTTGCTAGAAATATGTATGTTTAAAACCCTGTTAATTATACATACATATATGAGAAGTCAGTAAAACATAAATGCAATCATTCATTTGTTGACATAAATTTTTGCTTCCAAACCAAAAATTACACTATCTTATTGAACAAATTAAAAAAATATTAAATACATGCTTAAAAGATAGTAATTATATCATTAAATATATGTGCTATTTCAGAATGTGTCCATAGCGATTGTTGGGCCGAATACACCATTGAGGATTGCCGAAGATCCTGATTTGAGTCGTTACCTGTCTCTAGTGGAAGGAGAGGAGCGTCGCGGGGGGGCGAGCGCTACGGGGGACGCGGGGGGCCCGGCGGAGGGGGAGGGGGAACCAGCCGCTCAGGTAATGCATTATCTATATATATAAAAATGAATTGCTGTTCGTTAGTCTCGCTAAAACTCGAGAACAGCTGAACGGATTTATCTTATCTTAGTCTTGAAATGTTCGTGGAGGTTCAGGGAAGGTATAAAAGATGAAAAAAATTGATTCATTACTGGGAAAACCATAAAAACAGCCCTTTTCTATTTCCTATACAAACGTTTTTTTGACATTAGATTTGACAACTAACTAATATGTCAATCATTCTGTTCGATTGAAACAGGAGAAATCTGATTATTATTAATGGCCTCTAAAACGGAATAGAGTTCGCCCGGTCAGCTATACATATATTACTAATGACGAAACTAACGCGGACGAAGTTGCGGGCAAAAACTAGTATTGAATATTAATAACACATATAGGGGCCGTACATACAATATGTTCTCATACAAGGGGGAGGGGTCTTGTTAGCTGGTCTCTAGTGTGACAAAGGGGAAAGGGGTATGGGTAACGTGAAGTTCGCGGTTAGTAATAGAAATATTATTCATTATTTATATGTTCGTTACGACATGAAACGAACACCGAATACTAAGGCAAGATTACATATAGTTAGCTGAGTGACTATAACAGTAATCACAATACAATTGCAGCTCCATATATGTAATATATATTATATCATTTTTTTTAATAACAAATCAAATTAAGCAAGAATACCATGTGTAGTATAAATATATTCAAGAAGACCAATTAAAACCTGAATATATTTAATTTAATAATTAATAGTATACAACGTGTATTTAATCTTATTCAAATATAAACTACGTTTAATAAGTAAATAAAACTGTCTCGTAAAAAAAAATTATTAAATTTTTTAAATAGTTGTGAGGGACGGGAATTCTCATATAATAAATGCCCATTAGCCCATATTTTTTTTTGGTCAAAATAGAGATGCAAAGCCATTTTAATACAATAAAAAACGAATAATAGTAACTGATATGTATTTTATTCTTTTATTTAATATTTCATTTAAAACAATTATTAACTCGTAAAACACCTCCACTATATGACCAATATCCATTTGGGTCCACGTTGTCCGGTAGTGGCTTAACAAATGTATAATTAACTAATGGTCCGTCAAGTGGAACATGAAAAGCATTTATTTCCAGCAGACCTTTGCGTGCATTTAAAGTAATTTCTTCTTCTCTATACCCCGGCAATGACATAATCAAAGTATATTCATTGTCTGCTGTTCTTTGACCGTCATAACTTGAATAGTCGTCGATTGGGCCTAGATTTTCTATCTCATTATCGATCCTTTCTATTTCTCTATCAAGATGCTCAATATGCCCGTAAAGGTATTCCAGTCTTCTTTCAAGCGCCTCCTTTTGCCTACTAATGCTTGTTAATTCTCTGTCCATTACTTCTCTTCTTTTAAATATATATTCCTTATCTCTGTTTAAGGACATGAAATCACTATCATAACCTCGTCCATTGAAAATGCCGGTTTCTGTATCGTAATCTCTTACGAATTTAAACGAAGCCATGCCTTCGCATGCTAATAGTCCTAGAAGCACAACCACGAGCATATTTTATTTATTTCCACAACTGCTTCCTAGCAGTTCCCAAACGTAACTGTTTTTATTTGACCGCAGGGCGTATTTTATCCGTTGCACTATCGGTATATTATTTTATTGGAAATCCCGAATGTGTCTACATGTCCATAATACGTCATGGGCTTTTTTAAAGTGTTGTGTCGGTGATAACGAGTACAGCTAAAACAGTTAATATTATTTCTTAAATAATACTAGCTTTTGCCGCGACTTCGTCCGCCTGGAATAGTGACTTCCGGCAGATTTTTGGTTCTTCCCACATAGTTCCCGTTCTTTCGGGGTTTTCGGAATGGTCGAGTTCCCATAGAATTTTCAGGATAAAACCTATGTTTTTTTTTGATTCACAATGAAGTACTCTTAACCAACAACAACAGTTTTTGTGAGTTCATCTTAAAAGATAGACATATACTGTCGCGAACTGTTTTTTAGATAATTAAAAGAGCTATTATTCTTTAATACATATTTTTTGTGTATCTTGAACCGTTTTCACGGCGCACGCAACGGAAGGCTTCAAAGATGAAATAATTTCTCCCGTTTTTTACACATTTACCACTATATCTTTGCTCCTATTGGTCGTAGCGTGATGTTATATAGCCTACAGCCTTCCTCGATAACTGGACTATCCAACACAAAAAGAATTATTCAATTCGAACCAGTACTTTCGGAGATTAGCGCTTTCAAACAAACAAACTTTCAGCTTTATAATATTAGTATAGATAACAAATTCACATTCTTTCATCATGGTACATTCGTACAGAATCTTTATTTGGTTTTCATGATAGGTGTGGTGTAAAAAAAATTACGGGTAACGTTATATAAAGTATGAATTTAAGGATAATATGTAACATAACTTAAATATATTTAAAAAATATAAAAATATATTTAAATTTTATTGTAATAACTAAATAACATGTAGGGGCCATTAATAAAATATGTTCACATACAAGGGGGAGGGGTCTCGTTAGCTGGTCTCAAGTGTGACAAGGTGAAAGGGGAATACGGCAACGTGACGTTCGCAGTTTATAATAACCTCTTAGCATTCAGTGTATTCACGGTGCGGGTGTCAGGTCCATCGTTGTAGTGAGAGTTGCTTCAACAGTGACTGGGACTTGCGAGCCAGGTGTAGGTTTAAGGGGTATTATTTATATGTTCGTAACGAAATATATTAAATTTTATTATAATAACTAAATAAATAGTTTTAATGTTCAGAATTTGTGTATCGTTCAGAATTTATCATACTCAGCAGGATCTTAGTTTTTGTGACGAAATATTTCTAGGGATGGTCATAGCAAGTGACACAGCGTGAATAGTGGGGAAGGGGGTAAAAAAAGCTGATCTTAGTGTGATATATTTTATGAACAGCCCTTTACATACAGAAGTTGTATAAAAACCTTCTATACTCATGTATTTATAGTACTTGTAATGAATTCCTAGTCATGTCTTGTAATCAATGATTTGACAAGACTATTTCATATGAATATGTACAAAATTAAATATTTATTTCTCTTTTTGTGCAATATAAGTTGGTGAGTTATGAATACTGTTTCGGTATGCAATTTTCTTTGGGTACAATATTTATTTATTTATTTGTGGAACAGTTGTGCATTTATCACAGATAGGACAGCTATATGAGCAAAGTTTTAGAAACTGCTTTCCCCAAAAGATAGCACTATAAGTATCAACAAAAAGGACGCCTTATTTCTGAAAATCCTAGACAACAAAGTTTTTATTATTATTTTCTATAATGGGTTGTTAGAGATTTCTAATCAGAATATGTAAATTGGTTTACTATTGATATACATTTAAGCTGTGTGAAAATTACAAGTGCCTCATACCAGAGTTTTTGAAATTCTCAATATATCTTGACTTATCTACATGCATTGTTTCTTTTGACTACAATAATAAATACAAACATTAAAGTAGACATTTATTTATATATTTGAATATACAATTGATTTCTCAACAAATTTTATGGAATTATCTTAGAGGTGTAATGTATATTATTTCATTAATAAAATAGAACACTAATTAGGAGTCGTAGATTGCCAGAAAATAACTGTTGGTGTATTTTCACTGTAATCTTCACCGTCTGTGTCTGTATCGGGTAATGTTGTCTTTTTCTTTGGATCCTTTTTAATTATTCTCATAGGTAAATCTTCGTGTGTTGATGCACTGAACCATTTTTGGTACAGATTTAAGGCGAGCTGTTGTGGATTACCTGATGGCATGTTTACTATATTGATGCTTGCGAATTTCTCTTCCACTGAAGATCTTACTACTCTCTGAGCGCCTTTTTCATCAAATACTTCGTTTCTTGTCATAGCATCTAATGCCATGGATAAAAATGTAGACCATCTTGGTATGTAGTAGTATTCAAAAAGTTCGGCCCATTGTTTACAAGCATAATCACTGATTTCCCCATTAGGGCCCCATAGGGTTATTTGATTGCGCGCGTTGAAATCATAAAGTGATGATTCCAAAGGTACATTTGAGATTGCATTCGCACTGGATAACCAAGACGCTATTTGGAAATCTGTGTTCGTTGCTAATATATTTCTCATATCGGTCATAGCATCTATGAAGCTTGTTATGGTGTAGTTAAACACCATGTAATTGGAATATCTGTCGATTTGTAAGTTCATATATATCTGTTCAATTTTATATTGCAACGCTTGACGCGTGACATCTACCAAGTCGTGTAAGAAACCTCGTGTAGAGCAGGCTGGGTTTTGTACATAGACGAAGTTCTTTAACGCTTCGAACAAATCATGACCCTTGTACCACGCCCACGGTCTAATGTTGAAACTTGGACGTCTAGTCATTACATATTTACCTCTTATTCTGTTTAGACCTGTAAAATTATAGACGCTCCTTAGCAGATATTTCCATGCTAATGAAGTTTCATTGCAGCCGTACCTCCTTTCAGCGTAGTCTGATACCCATTCTTCTAGATCCTCAACGGGTCCCTTGCGCCAAGCTGATTCTAACATTAAATCGTAGATAACATAATTCTGGTTTATGCCTTCCGGGGTCAGTCCTATCCCTACCATAGTACTGTTCTCCCTTTTCCTTGCTTCATACACGTCTTTGTTTATAGTTTTAGTATTACCGAACATACCCAAAGTACCCCCGAAATTATGTAGCATACTCCAAATAAACGGTTGACCGTAATACATCTGATATAAGTCATACTGTGGCCATTGTTCCGATTGAAGGTCTAACACAAGCATTCTACCGTTCGGTACAGATGTTAAGAAACTGTTGACTCTCTTCAACGGCCATAGTAAAGGATTGTGAACGAACATCCAATTCTGTACAAGCCACACGGCATCTTTGTCGTATTCGGAGATGCTTGAAAATATGGCTTTAGCTGTTTCCACTACTAATGATGTAGACCAGGGTTGTATTTTGATCTCGTTGAATGGATCCGCCGTATATATGTGACTGGTGCCCAATCCAGCGGTTATTTCTCTCAAGAACATGTTAGATATCATCTTAAATTGCGGTTCCTTGGGGTCTATGAATAGATTACAGCAGTAGTCTTCGTCAAATTTGTTCCACGTCTCCACCGGGTGGAAGGTTGTGTTTGGGAATATTTTTTCAAATGCCTTGGGTACGTGTCCATTGAAAGCTGGAAACACAGGTATCATGCCTAACTTGAACATCAAATCTGTGACGACTTCTTGTATTTGTTTCTGCCTGTCGTGCCAAGATTGAGGTAGCGGCCCTCCCCAACCGTGGACATTTCCCATTCGAAGCCAAGCGAGGAAACCAGGTCCCGTGAAGTGTTCCTTAATATCGTCGTCAGACATTCCGAGATTTCTATAAATCCTCGTCCATGCGGCCTCTTGTGCTACCGGAGCTAATGCCATATTAATGCCATTTAATGCCATCCAAGTGACATGGTTCTTCCAATCATCCGTATTCCACCACACAAAACTGTACGACGCCGTGCAAACGTTTTGGTAATATCTAAATCTGTCATTGGCTATCACGGTCTCATCGACTTCTGGTAATGGCGAGGGAATAACTACTCGGGACACTTGCCAGGCCACTTGGCTCTTGCAGTACTTCTTCAAGTAATAGTTGAAACCCCACACTGCCGCAACTCCACTGCTCGCACGTATATTAAGTTTCCCATTGTCGGTTCTCAATGAGAATACATCCTTATGATCTTTGAATAGAATTGGATTTACATCGACCGCAACGAAGTTGTACTGGGTGTGGAGTAAACTATTTATAATATCTTGCGCTGCTTGCCTCTGTACGTCCGGCGAAGATTGTGTTTGCAACTTAATCGGATCTAAATAGTCTAGATTCAGACATAATGTACTCGTTACAAGACTTAAATATAATAACAACTTCATCCCGCGTCCGTTTCTTTCTCAAGTCGGTAGATAACTGTTTAACTGACAAGCGAACTCTGAACCTCCGGCCAGATAAAGCTAAACTATAGTGTCATTGTTGTCTCTTAGTCGTTATTGAGAATGTAAAGCGTCTTTGTTTGCTTATAGAGAAAATGTTTGTAATATCTTATCGTATTAATATGTTAGCTCTGAAACTCATTATAATGTAAAAAAAAAAATACAAAAAATACGAAAAAATATATAAAATAAAAAAACTATTTTATTGACCCCGACGTGATTTGAACACGCAACATTCTGATCTGGAGTCAGACGCGCTACCGTTGCGCCACGGAGTCCTTGACAAGGCACTCGTAAATAAGGAACGACTTATACAATTTAAAAATCTTTTAAATAAATTAATAATATTGAATTCATATAATAATTTATCGTTCATTCCTAATTTAAGTATGCAAATATATATAGATTTGTATGAGTTTATTTTTGTTATAATAAAATAAACTCAGACTCAATCACAAACACGAGTAAATTCCTTTATACTTTATTTAATGATAAAATTAATTTTTTTTCTTCAGGCTATGGAGACGGAGTAATCACAGAAAGATTACAAGAAATAGCAGAAGAAGAAACATGGGTAACGGAAATACAAGAGCCTGGGATAAAATCCGTTGAACACTTCGCATCCATTCTGCATTTCTTACCAATTTTTTCATACTGTAAAGATATGCCTTGGCCAGTGTTTAGGTTTTGTGTGGGTATATGATAATTTAGTTCAGGTTTTATACATTCACATAGTACATCAAATTGTTATCTATAATAACAAAAATATTTGAATAATAAAGGTGATATAACTACTATAGTTATTTTAATTTAATTGATATTTATAAAATGTCTCGAAAAATAAGATTTTCCCACAAACTAAGACATTTCCCTTTTTTTATTTGAAGCAAACACAATGATCTAAGCACTGGCCAAGGCAATAAAGTGAATTTTTTATTTGTTTTTCATTTATATGTATCGCTAAATAAATAAAACTCAGAAATATGTTATGTGTATTTATTTCTGTATTTACATATATTTAACAGTAAATATTTATACAGGTAAAATTTTTGGATTATTTAGAAATATACTCTTAAAACTAAATTATATGAAAAATGTAGGTTTATTATCTGATAATGGAAACGATTTAAATATATAATATATAACTTTTATTACATCGCATATATATATCTTCTTCTCCTACCTGGCAATTTCCCAGTTTTAGCCAGGGTCTGCCTTACATGTTGTGTTTTGGCTAATTGTTTTTACGACCGGCCGCCTGCCTGACATCAACCCTCTGGGAATTATCGCATGGGAACTATCGCATATATATATATATATATATATATATATATATATATATATATATATATATATATATATATATATATATATATATCATTTTTCTAAGAATGTTTTAAATGTCTGAATTAGTAATTAATAATTATGATACAAATCATTTTGACTAGCTCTATATAATTATTGTGATTGGTGGTTTTGTTCGACGTTTTTTTGGTATATGGATCCGTATATAAATATATTCTTATATCTAAAATGTACAGAAAACTTATTTATTAGCACCATATTACAAATTTTGGAAGATTGGACAGTTGTTCAAACAGCTATGGTAAATCAATCTTTGGGATAATATCTTGGGTCATACAAGAGTATCAAGTACGTAGCCGTTACCGCTGTAAGAAAACACAGGTGGCGTGCTACTAGCTTGTTCTAGAACTGGTATGTAGCTTTCTTGCAAGATAATGGGTTGTCTGCTTGACGCTTCGTTCAATTGTCGTTCTAGTATCGTGTTCTGTAATTCTTCTTTCTCCAATTCTATCGTCAATTCTTCTATCAGTTTCATTCTGAATTCAACTTCTTTGTCAGCTCGTTCCAATTCTATCGTATTGTCTTGCATCTCTTGGGTGGTTTTTGCTAATTCTTCCTCGATTTTGTCAATGAGTATCGTCACTTGGGATACATTTTCGCAGCTATTGGCCTTATTTTCGTCCATATATCGTTTGACCTTCGCAGTTAACCTGACAACGAGTTCCTCTTCTCTGTGTAATCTCTTGTTGATGATGGCCAGTTTCTCTAATAACTCTATTTCTTCTCTTATCCTTGTTAATTCGTCAGCTGATGCATCCGAGTCTGTATCGTTCGGTGTTTGCATGAGTCTGTCGGAGTTTATCTGGCATATGTCTGTAAGTTCTTTTGTGAAGTAATGCTCTCTCATCAGATGTCTCTCTCGTCGTGATTTGTGTTTCGTGTGCCGTCTCGGTGGAGTTCCACTGCCAACTCCGACCCCGCTATCACTGTTACCAGCCTGGCTATCATTGAGCTCGCTACATCTTCCTAAATCACGAAGATACGATTCAAGAAGGTAGTTCGTTCCGTGTTTTTCCATTCTAGTTTTGTGTGTCTGATCTTCTAAATGATCGATGAGTTTCTCTTGTTCTCTGTGAAATTGAAATGAAACTTTACTTATACTCATACTAAATTCGTTATACTACAGATAAAATCGTGTCTCTTTGGTAACTTTAACTCAAAATTTAAAGATCGGATTTAATTAATAAGCCTCTAGTTTTCAAACAAGTTAATAGTAGTTAATACTTATTTGGAAGGATACTTTAACTTTAATATCACTTATATACTTGAGTATTTCTATGGGGATCTAGTTACCTTAACTTATCTAGCTGTTGGTGAATAGTTCTGCTCTGGTGTTGTATAACGGAGACGAGTCTGGTGGCTGGGTCCTCACTCTTAGATCTTGGAGGTGGTGTGGCCGCTCGAATGCCTTTTTTTCTTCGTCGTGAACGAGCTCGACTTCCACCATCGCTATCTCTTCCTGAATCCTCTTCACCACCGCTAGATAACCTTCGAAGAGACAGTCTTACCTGTAATGAGATATTGTCTCATAAAACCATGGAAAAATTATAAGCAATTGGTTATACAATTCTGTAAAGACGAACCTCATGCCTAGCATCACCCCAGGCAGCCAAAACGTGTAAAACTGGAATATCTGGTGGAAGAGGTCGTTCAACGCCACGCCACCTCTCAGCGAGAACCCACTCCCCATGGTCGCTGATACCTTCACCTGAAGAAGGAATCAAAATAAAAAACAAGAAAACATCTATAAGAACCAGCCTAACCAAGTATTGAAATTTATTGGACGTAATATACCCACCATCCACGTAAAATACTATCCCACCCACGTAATATACCTACTACCTCACGCACGTAATAGATATACTCAAGTGCCCATTGCATGATTCTCCTGAAATCGGTATTCTCCTAATGACCAGTTTAAGAATCTATCACATTAATGTTTAAGGCTCACCAAATATGTAAGGCATACTTTAACAAGTATAGTCTTTCTCATTAGAGTACTTATAATGGCCAAAAATTATTCAGTAGGAACTTATATCTCGAGATATAATTTCAAATAGAAAATCCACTATATAGTTATCGATTGATCACTGGTAGTGATGATTACTGAAAGATAGAACAGAATAATACTATGTATATATATAAAACTACCTTCAGGCGCATCCTGTAAGGCTCGTACAATATCAGCGCATGTGGTGTGACTTCTTACTCCGCGAACCCAAAGTTTCTGACCACGGGCTAGCACCCCCACCTCCTCATCACTATAGTCCGATGATGAAGCTTCCATTGGTCCTATAAAGAAAGTCTAGAATTAATAAATTAATATTTAAAACACACCCACAGAAGGTAGTTTGAGTTTTGTAGAACGGAACGGTATGTTCTAATTATTGTTCTAATTCTAATTGCGTATACGGTAAGGACTCATATATTTTATAATTGAGAAAGTAAAATACTCGTATACCAGCCGAGACGATGCCATTTTGTTTAGTATTGTCATAAATTATTGTTCAAACTGAATAAATTTTTGTATGATTAATCTTTTGTTTTGAGTAAAAGTTTACATTGAAATTCATTCATCATTGAAAGGTCAAAGCAAATTGAAACTATTGTTAATCGTACACAACCAAAAACTAATCTAATTCGCAACACCTATACGAACGAAAGCAGCGGTAACTATTGTTTGTATGCCAGACCGTTGCCTGGCAACAAATAACAAACATTGCATAACCTAGGGTGGTGCCTGGCACGATAATTGTATCTACCATACAGGAAACCATACTAATGCAATGCAAGAAATCGGCGATCAGCCCACTACGTCAAGTCTGAGATACAATCGAACAAAACTTCTATCTACACGTATGTATATCACTGCAGATATTAATCCTACAAATTGCCTAAGTATTTCTTCTTCTTCTTCCTGGCAATTTCCCAGCTTCAACCAGGGTCTGCCTATGTATTTATTTCACGCGAAATAATCATTACGCGTTCGTGACATCCATTTTCCCTCGAAACAGTGACTTACGAATATAAAAACTAGCTGGGGGTTGGAAAAATGTAACTTTTATTACACAAGCACCGTAATTCTTTAGAAATCGTGACAAGCAACTATTAGGTATATCCGCAACCCCTACCACCCTTATCAACTAGTGCACCCCTTGACATTTGCCGCGCCCAATAATTCTGTGAATTGTGCAATTTTATAAAACGAAATTCATTGTTGTTGAACCGATTCAAACAAAGGTATGGTAAAAAAAATAGATACCTACAGAATATACGTAATATTTTTATACACTGTGTATACATTCGATAAGTTTTACTTGACATTATCATAGTCATAAATAAAACGAATTTATTATTATTTATTTATATAATATACCTCCGTATTTTATTATAAGAGGAAGATGTTGCAAAAGTTAACACCAACAGCAATTTTGAAAGTAAAACCAATTAATTATCCTTAAAGCTTATTATTATTTCTTTGACGCATTTTTATACATGCAATAGCTGATTAAAACACGCGTTTATGGCACATACGTACACTTTTGTCGCACCTTAATTATAAAGTGCGTTGTACCGAATTTTTCGTTACAAAGTAAATAAGTAGCACCCAATTTGCATCTCCTGTTACATTGTCATACTTATTAATTTGCAAAATGTTTTTAAAGATACTTAATATTTTCTCGAACGCGGCAAAAACTTAAATGCATCCTGCCATTACGAAACTATCTGCTTCCAAGCATTTATTTAGTCATGTATACTTGCAACATACACTTTAATAAAACGTATCTGACTTATTAGTACATCGGAAATGGTTAGTTATTAAAAAATTTGCAATTATCTACATCAAATGTCAAATTATGCAGGTTTTTGGACCGTTTATTATTAAATCAGAAAAGATAACAAGACAATAGTAAATGAAAACAAGTATTACAGTATCGTAACTCGTAAAAACGTTCAAAAATTCATTGACAAAAATGAAATGTCAATTTTGGGATTATATTCCTTGAAATGTCAAAGATATTTCAGGTTAATAACATAGTATATCAGTATTTAATTAATATACAAAATTTCAGTGCTCCTTTTAAAATCGCTTCCATCGGAAAATATAATCCCGGAAAAATACTATCCCGGAAACTACTTATTTAGATAGCCGGGAGCAGAACTATACGCAATTAGGAAACGTTGCATTTATTTAAATATATACATATCTACCAAAATACAGCAAAACAAATTCCAAACCCATTAAGTCTCAATTAGCGCTGGCCGGCGGCTATCGATACCTAGAAATGTTAAACATTCGACCAGATGTATACAATACGGCTTGTAGCATTTTATTGTGCACTAGTGATGTGCTGACTATCGATAAAACCTACAAAAATATCTGTTTAATACCTCAAATTTACTTATACCACTATTGTAACTTGATTGAAAGATAGATGAATTTAATTTAGTTAAAAGTCGATTTCGTATTTTGTATTATGTATATTTATAAATATAATCTATGTTTAGTGATTGGCTTATAGCTATCGTGTTTGTTATCGATAAATCTACATCACTAGTAGCGTAACAGGCGAATTATCGGTAGCCCTTGCTCGAAGTCCTAATTATAGGCAACGAAGCCGACTCACGCAAGCACGGACAATTACATACAGACATACCAACTAGATTTAACATATAATTAATGAGAACGATCAAATATTAATCAAAAATAGATTTATATTTTTTTAAGTTTTAATTACTTTTAATCTTGTTATAATAATTTGTTTGCAACTGTCCATATTAAAATATATGAAGGAAATCTTGTTTATTATAAATGAAAGTATGTAAGTATCTGTCACGTGTACGTACCTACATATGTTTATATTAAAAAAAAACTATTATATAGGCCTTAAGTAAACTTTTCAAAAGTCAAAAGTAAGAGTAGTAAAGTAAGAGTTCAAAAGTCAAAAGTAAGAGAACTTTTCAAAAGTCTGGGATAAAAACTATCCTATGTTCTTTCTCAAGGTCAACTCTATCTCTGTACTGTGTTAAAATCATTTCAGTGGTTTAGGCGTGAAAGCGTAACAGACAGACAGAGTTACTTTCCCATTTATAATATTAGTAGGGATTTGATCAATTTATTGACAGGAAAACAATGTTTAAAGCTTATTGATAATCATTTATTTCTATTCATACGATTTCTAAGAAAGGAATCGACTCAAACAAATTACATATTATCTGGCACGGGCCAAATTACCACAAGTGTTTTCGTGGAACCATCGATTTTACACAAACCCTCCAATTAACTCTTAAGAAACGATCTATCAAATTTAAATTTAACTAGAATGTTTTTTACGGCTAGCAATCTCTTTGTACAAAATTGAGACGAAATATAATGGATTGAGGAAATAAGTTATAAAATAATAAAGTTTAAGTGATAATTATGTCTCTTTTTTGGAATAAATAAATATTTTATTTCGTTAATTGTAAATTCTATTATTTTCACTTGTAACACTTCATATATACCTACCATTGTTCAATTAATTGTATATTTTTTTTAACTTGTTTAAGTATTTTGTATGGTTAGTTCCAAGCTAAATATTAATATTGAGATTAATGCCTTGTTGTGAGATTTCAAAAGATATTAGTGCGACGCTAGTGGTGAGACGCTTGATACATCTAACAGACCATCAAACGCCTTAACAAGCCGTTACTTATTTAACATTGATTGGTGAAACTGGGTCTTAGCTTAAGATTTAATGGCATTTACTAATATTCTAGTGAAAAAATAAACGATTGTGTCATAATTATGAGTAAAGTGACGACCTCAATAAATGAACTGTACCTAACACACTTATAATAATAATTTCAAAACTTATCTGTTTTAGTCTCTATGACAAAATCTTTTGCTTACATAAAAATATTTACAATATTTATCTTTAAGATTTATGGGAAATTATATGATTGAGACCATATAATATAATAATTTGATTATCTTAATACAAATATGTATTTGAAATGATATTTACTAATTGTAATATAGACATATAAAACAGGGATTTATAAATAGATGTCATATTAGTCTTGCGCCGTTTCCCGCCCTTTGTAGACTGTAACAATGATGAGACTGTCTGTAGTCTATGGTTAGCACTTCGAGACTTGAATCACGATTAGATTGATTTGAATTTCAATTTAAATTTTAACATCATCTAGCCAGCGGCTTCGCAAGGATTATATTAATTGATATGTACCTTGGGAATAGTTTTTTGTTGAGATTAAAAAACCTATTTTAATACTTCGAAATATGTAAGAGAAATTATTACAAAGTGGAGACGAAACGTCTCATTATTAAATGCATTCACCGTGCGTGTGTCAGGTCCATCGTTGTAAGGAGAGGAGCTTCAACAGTGACTGGGACTTGCGACCCAGGTGTAGGTTTAAGCCCTTATCTAACGCGCGTTAAACGCTCACTTCCACCGTCCAAGCTCCTCTCTCTACCTAATATTGTCGAAAAAAGCTATGTAATGTAAAACAATAATTAAGTATCACTTTTATATTCTTTAATACTTTGTTTCAAAAATCGTAACAAAAAATTCTGCCTTCATGCCTTAATTTGCATAATTGCTCTATACACATAAATATTATATTTAATTATAAACAATTATTTTTTTATATATTACATAACATCAATTAAATCGTTCAGTTCTATTTCAAATAAATATTTTTATTTCAACATATATTTTATAATAAAAGTGTTCATTATTGTGAAAACTATTTCGTAAGCGGTTCGTCATTTTATTCGACCTAGTTTATGCCACATTGTTACTCGATTTTGGCAAAACATTTTGACAATGCCATATTATCTTTCATTGTGAAAATGACAAAACATGAACCGGTAACGAATAAATTGTTACTTATATAGTTGCGTTACTTACTTGCATGTACTTTATAGGATAATATCTGGACTGGTTTGTCTAATTCTCAATATATATAAAAGAAAGTTGCGTTAGTTATACTATTTATAACTCAAGAACCGCTGTAGGGATATGGTTGAAAATTTGTAGGCAACTAGCTCAGAACCAGGAGACGGACATAGGATATTTAAATCCGTTCAATTGAAGAAAAAACTTAATAAAATTCAATATCTGGTTAATTACGGCCTCTTCAGCGAAATAGAATTCTCTCGAATAGCTATACATATATTTCTAATTCCTAAATGAACGCGGTCGAAGTCGCGGTTCAAAACTAGTAGTATTTATAATAAATATGAAAAATATTGTAATATTTATTGACATGCTTAAATTGTAATCGATCTTACAACAAGCA